CCCATCCATCTGCCCATCCAGCCAGCCAGCCAACCAGCCACCCATTCATCCTTTTATTCATTCATTCGCCCAGACATCTACCCACTCACACATCTACCATCCTACCCACCTACCGTCCACCCACCCACGTATCCGTCCATCTGTCCCCATCCACCATCCACCCATCCACCATCCACCTGTCATTCTTCCATCCATCCATCCCGTTCACCAAGCACCAACCCCACTCACCCACCTACCAGTCCACCTACCCACTATGTGTCCATCCACACACCCATCTAGCCCCCATCCATACCCCACCTATCCTCCACTCACCCATCCACTGTCCACCCATCCCTCCGCCCTCCATCTGCTCGTCCACCCACCATCCACTCACCTATCCCTCCGTCTCCTCACTGACGCACCCTTCTGCCTCCCTACCCAAGCGCCGTCTGCCTAGCCACTCCCACATCCACCCTCCGCCTGCGTCCTGTGCCTACTGCTCATCTTGCCATCCTCCCACTCACCCATCTACCAAGCTACCCGTCTGTTCATCAGCTGTCGTTACCTCCTCTGTGTCACGTGTGGCTCTGGGTGGGGGGATGTAGCAGTGACAAAAACATAGCCCCACCCTTATGAAGCAGAAACTCTGGTCCTATAAGGCGTAGGAAAAGTAGAGGGCGGAGATCCGGGCACTCTGCAGTCTTTTGCCCCTCAGCCGCTCCTCTGGGGGGTGGCTGAGCGGCTGTAGGGTCCCCACAGAAGAGATGCCTCAGGGAGTGTGGGAGCAGATCAACAGGCCGCCTCTAGCACCTTTTCGTCTCATGCTCTATTGGAGTTTCCAGGTAGTAGAAGGCCCACACCCACGTGCCCAGGGGCTCTGTCCAGCTGGGGCACTGGCCGGGAGGGTGCTCTGCTGGTCAGGTCTCAGAAACCCTGTCTAGGGAGTGAAGAGCTCACGCCCGTGTCCGGGAACCTTGGGTCTCTGTCCAGCGAGGCACTGGCAGGGAGGGTACTCTGCCGGACAGTTCTCACAGGTCCTGCTGGGGGCATCTCTGAGCACCAGGTGTTATTCCACAGAGCTCTGGGCCTTTAGCAGGTGCCAGGCTGGGGGCCACACTTACTGAGCACCTGCTGTGTGCCCAGCAGCCGCTGGGCCTGCACACAGGTTGAACTCCCTGAAGTGTCTGTGAGAGACACTCCCCTGCGTAGCCAGGAAAGGAGCTGGGAGGGGGCCATGCAGCTGGGGAGGCCGGGTCTACACCAGACATTCTGTCTCCCATGGGTGTTTCCCAACCTGCCCAGGGGCTGGCTGGTGGCTGAGGGCCTGGGTCGGACCCCTGCCAGTGTCCCCAGGCCTTCATTCGGAAGCTGGCTTGGAACGACGGGAGGCCAAGCGGCCACCCTGAGTGTGACTCTGTCTCAGTAGCCCTCTGGCCTGGCCCGAAGAGCATCTCAATTTCCTTCTGGCCTCCACAGGAATTACCTAATGGATACAAAATAACCAAGTCTAGGGTTCAAGTATCAGCCACTGGGATGGCCAATGTCTAAAACCAGGGGCCTCTCGAGGCCTGGACGGGAAGAGCCCCCCTTCCTCCTTGTGGCTGTATGTGGGGTGGAGGGGGTGAGGTGGGGGACGGAAAGCGCACCGGACATGGCGTTGGAAGGCCCCGGGTGCAAAGCAGACCCCCAGCCCTGAGCAGGTCCGTTCAACTCAGGGCAAACCCACGGCTTTTTCTCTAAAAAGGGACCAATGGGGCCTCACCAGGGATCACCGAGAGGGTTCAGTGAGGTGCCTTGAGTGGGAGCGGAGGCCTCGGCAGAAGGTGGAGGCCACTGGCATTTTCTCTCTCTTTTCCCGCTTTCTTCCTCCTCATCAGTGCGGTGCTGTGATGGATTCCTCACGTGGGGGTGACACGACCAGTCCCAGCCTGGTCATGGGTGACATGTCGCACGGGCCATGCTTTGGGGTCTCAGGGGCCCACATGTTGACTCACCTGGTGGTGACACGACCAGCCCCGTCCTGGTCACGGGTGACACGTCACACGGGCCGCGCTCTAGGGTCTCAGGTGCCCAGGTGTTTCCGAACTGGCTGTGAGGTAGACAGCAGCTACAAGTCGAGCCAGGCCTCCCTCTACTCGGCCTGCCACACACGGCAGGTGGGTGTGCTGGAGTCTCGTCTAGGGTAGGCCGTTTCCACGTGTGACTCTGCGACGGAGAGCGTGGTGTCCCCAAACCCACAGATGGCAGCCCTGACCCCTGGCGGGACTGTATTTGAAGATGGGCCTCTCAGGAGGCAGCAAGGCAGATGAGGCTGCCGGGTGGCCCTCGCTCGGCAAGGCCGGTGCCCCAGTTCGGAGGGAGGAGACCCGGCCCCTTTCGCCCTGGGCCTGCTCCGGGGGAGGGCTGTGAGGCCTTGGAAGAAGGCAGCCCTCCCCACGCCGGGGGGAAGGGCCGCCCAGAACCAGCGCCGGGGGGTCCTCGGCCCTGGACCTCTGGATCCACAGCTGTGCGAAATGGGTGGGCATTCTTCAAGCCCCCGGCTTGTGGCATTTGCCGCCACGGCTACAGCCCCCGAGGACTCTCCACCTCCCACACAACGAGGACCCCTCACGTCACGACGGGGAGGAGGAGGGGAAAGAGGCTGGGGCCAGGGCCGGCGGGGCGCTCTGGGCGCTCGACGCTGTGGCCTTGGCAAGTCTGTTTCACGACCTGGGCCTCCGCGTTCCCCCGTGAGACGGAGACCTTGGACGGGAGGGTCTCTGTGTCTCTTCCACGCTGGCCACTCTCTGTCTGCCTGGGTCTGGGTCTCCGTGGGGTGCAGGGGGTTTGCTGAGGGCGGCAGAGCATGGAGAGATGCCAGGCAGGTCCCAGCCAGACAGGCTCCGGATCCCACAGCAGAGACGGCTGCCCTCCTAGCCTCAGCCCCCGAGGTCCCGTGGACCGCCTCCCCCCATCCTATTTCTGGGAGACCCTAAACTGAGTCAGGCC